GGACTCGGGGAAATGCTCACACCAGGATAAGCCTTTACAATAACCCTTTATAGGCAAGCTTGTAAAGCCAACTCTAGTGTGTCAAAGTTCAGAGGTGCCTCAGGGACTCCTAAGCAATTCTTACACCAGAGGGGCAAGGCCTTGGGTGCTCTAAGAGTAGGAGTAGTGTTTGAAAATAGAAGTAGTTTTAAGAAGAAATTGTTTAAAAGAAAAACAGAGTCATTGCGACAAGTGTTTTAGCAAGCAGAGAAACATGATCACAGAGTCCTAAAGTAAAGATTCCTACTACCCAGATTCAGCCCAGTTTATTAGTTAGCACTATGGGGCATGTAGCATGTTGAGAACAAATAACCACAAAGAGAGGGAAGCAGAGGTTGGGGGTCATAATTGACATGAGAAGTGAGCATGAGTCTAATTCATATGGATACACAGAAGTTTACTAAATCAGGAACCAAACAGGTTGAGAGTAAGGCACACATAGATTCAACTAAACAGAGGTAGGCAGGTTATTGTAGTCAACATACAAACAAACATGTGATAGTAGTAGACATGCAGGTTTGAACAGGACAGAAGGAAAAGGCCTACTAACTATAAGGAATCATACAAGTCAAGTCAAATAATAGGAAGCATACAATATAATCAAAGGTAATGCATAGGCTGACTGAGAACAAGAGGCATGAAACACATAGATTCAGTTATAGACAAGCTAGCCTAGAAGATTCTACTGATTAAATAACATAAGAAAAGACATTTTGGGAACATGCAGTATATAAACTAAATGCATGCAGAGGTTTGCATGATAGTAAAATGGGAGCATACCAGTTGGAAATTTGCAATAACAAAAGGAGGTAAAATGTATCCAAGACCTAGTCTTGGCTTCCAGCTGACTAGATGGTGCAGTAAACAAAGAAGTTTGCAACAAAGAGAGCAAGAATTTTTAGTGCTTTTCTTAAGTCTATATGTGTATATTGTGAACTGGTGGCCCTTTTTCGAGCCAGAACAAAGAGGGTTTTATAGTATGCAATAGAGTAGGACACATAAGGTATGGAAATCAATTAACCATCAGTCATGGCTCCATTAAGGGGCTAGAATCCCATAGATGGTACTTAATTTAGGGAAGTCTCACACGAAATCCCTTAGCAAATCAAAACCAGGTTAATAAGGTAAGAAATAATCAGACAATCTATCAAGTGGAAGCAGTCATGAATAAATTAGCCACAAAATCAGACTAGTATCACTTACTTTCAGGAAAGTTATGCATGGTATCAACCAGTAATTAAGGGGCTAGGCTAAATAAGGCAAGAATCAATTCCAAAATTAATTAGAAGTTAGTTTTGGACAATCAAAGCATGAAATTAGACTAGTAGTGTCAATTAATAGTTACACATAAGGCAAGAAGGTAAAATCTAATAAGGAAAGCCCAATTTCAAACCCTAATTTAAGTAAGTAAGATTGATTAATCAATTAGTCGATAGAATTCGAGGCAAATGGGCAGAAGTAGCAAATAACCAGTTACACAATCAGGACTATAAGAGATTTTTAGGCAGAAATATAGAAGCATACAATAGACAAGAATAAATAAGGAAACCCTAACAGGTACTTCGGAGATAAAAATGTTTTAAAAACTACATATTTGTAGAAAAACCCATTGAAATCAAGACCTCAATCTTAGGGTAAACCAAAAATTAGTTAGGAATAAAATAGGGAAAGATCAGAAGACATCGAGGTGGAAGTACTAAAGAATTAAAGAAAGACAATACCAAAAACAAACATGAAACCTTTTCAAATCGGAGAAGATCTTAACAGATTCAACCAAAAGATAGCCAGATTCGTAAAATAAATAGAAGTTGAACCAAATCTAGTTTAAACCGGAGATTTGAGACCTTAAAATACGAATGTATTCGTACTCACAAGTATTGGAATGAATATAGACGGAAATAGCCAAACCATGAAAGATCTCGAACCAGATCTGGCTCGATCTTTGCCAGATTTACTTTGCCATATTTAGGAAACAACTAGATAGGGTCATAGACGAGTAACCAACGGTGAAGAGAGACTGATAATGCAAAGGACACCATAGCTGATTTCATTTTAGGTCGGAATCGGACAAGATGACAGATGACGGCATTAGGGTTAGATAGGGTGAGAGATGAGAGCATATGAGGGTGGCAGGTTTGGAAGAAATGGGTAGGGTTAGGGGGTTTGTTATATTAAAAGAGGGTGTTTGGTTTAGGGTCGTTGATCTTCTAAGATCAACGGCCAGGATTGAACGTTACGTGGGGCGGGTTAAAATTAACCAGGTATTTGGGTCTGGGTTTGGGTCAGACGGGTAGAGAATAATTGGGCTAGGTTAATTTTGAAATTGGGTCTTTTCTAGAGCTATATTTTAAACACTCAGTTAATTTAGTAAAATAATTTTATAAAATAATTTATAAATGATAAAAATGTGATTTTTGTACGAAAATATTTTAAAATACTTACTTAATATTATAAAAATATGAAAAGAAAATATTTTCTATATGGATAATATAATTTTGCATATATATAGGCTATTATTGCAAAAATACATAATTCTAGCCTAAAATGCAAATGTGATTATAAAAACACAATTAAGATGTTTGAGGGTTTACATAGGCATAAAATGATGAATTTAAATAATCAATCTTCATAAAGAATAATATGAGGAATAGTTATTGAATATTTGTATAAATTAAAAATACAGAAATAAATTAGTTTTTAAGTCCTTAAAAATTATAAAAACATATGTGTGCATGTTTGTAAGTGTGTATGCAATATTTTGAAAGTATGTATGCATATTTAAATATATATGAAGGAAAAATTGGGTATCAACAATCATGATGAGATACACGATGTATTATGTGTGCCTGATTTCAAGTACAACTTGTTATCTGTGTCAAAATTAACTAAAGAGCTGCAATGCTTAGTTAATTGTTTCCCAACATTTTGTGTCTTTCAACTCCTAATTCAAATTGCAATGTACAATGATTAGGGAAATAAGATTTTCCTTTTCTTAAAATAGAAAAGACCTATACACTGGGAGAGTGAAGGGGATTGGTAAGGAGAAAGGTGGCCTCTATATCCTAATTCCAAAAGGATCCAACAAAAACAGAATGACACAAAGGGTCAATAGTTGTCTGGCAGAGGAAATACAAGCAGACTTCACTGCTTGGCATAAAAGACTTGGTCATGTGCAAGTTAGAGTCATGAAGCAATTAGATTTCCTTAAGAATAAGAAGTTTTCTGATTGTGAACTCAATAATTGTACTATATGTCTTTTAGTTAGGTAAACAAGGAAGCCATTTCCCTTGAGTAGTAACAGAGTTGAAGACATTTTTCATTTGGTTCATGTGGATAATTGGGGTCCATATAAAGTGTCTACGTAAAATGGAAACATATATTTTCTGACTCTTGTTGATGATCATTCTAAGATGATTTGGATTTTTCTAATGAAGTTGAAAAGTGACACTGTTGTTGTGTTAAAATATTTCCCTAAAATGGTACATACACAGTTTGGCAAGACTGTGAAAGTGTTAAGAACTGATAATGGTGCAGAGTTTTTTAGTCATGAATGCAGGGATTATTTGACAGATAATGACATTATGCGTCAAAGCAGTTGTCCACATACTCCACAACAAAATGGAGTAGTGGAGAGAAAGCACAGACATGTCTTGGAAGTGGCAAGAGCCCTAAGATTTTAAGGCTCTATTCCTTTGCAGTTTTAGGGAGATTGTGTGTTAGCTGTAGTATATCTAATCAATCGATTGCCTTCTTCAATTCTTTCAAGGAAGTCTCCATATGAGATCCTTCACAAAAAACCACCCAACATGGCACACTTAAGGACTATTGGGTGTTTGTGTTTTGCCACAGTAACTAAGCGGGTGGATAAATTCTCTTCTAGAGCTATTACTGCAGTTCATATGGGATATTCAGTGTCTCAAAAGGGGTACAAGCTATATGACCTGAGGCACAGAAAGTTCTTTGTCAATAAAGATGTTACTTTTAAGGAGGACATCTTTCCTTTTCAACTGGGAAAGGATGATGCACAACAAGCCCCTATGTTCTTAGAGCTGAAGCAAAGAGAAGAAGGCCATTCCCTGCATCAACAACAAACTCGTATGCCAGAAGAGGAAAATGACACTATTAATCAGAACTTTGTGCATGACCATGAATTGATACAACAAGAAAGTGGTCAAGACCCTATTGGGAAGGCACCAGTTGCTGAAGCTGGTCATCATAAGTAGATGCCAACTGCAGAGGTCACTGAAAATGTTCAAGTTGCACAACTCAGAAGATCCAGTAGAGGTTCCAAACTACCTATTTGGATGAAAGATTATGTTTGCCCACTCAATAGAGCATCTTCATCCACTTGTATGTATCCAATATCCAACTATCTGAGCTATAGTGCTTTATCAACCACTTATCAATCTTATTTGACAGCAACCCCATAGGAAATAGAACCTGCATCATACACAGAAGCCATGAAGGACCCAAGGTGGGTTGAAGCAATGAATGTAGAAGTGGATGCTTTGGTTATGAACAATACTTGGAAGATAGTAGATATTCCTAAAGGTAAAGTACCTATTGGATGTGGATGGGTATACAAGATCAAATACACATCTAATGCAGAAGTTGAGAGATTTAAAGCAAGGCTTGTTGCCAAGTGGTACAACCAACAAGAAGGGATAGACTATCAGGAAACTTTTTCTCCAGTAGTTAAGATGGTTACAGTGAGAACTGTTATTGCACTAGCTGCTATATATCAATGGCCGCTATTTCAAATGAATGTCTACAATGCTTTCCTTCAAAGTAACCTTGAAGAAAAAGTCTACATGCAGTTACCGCCTGGTGTTAGCAGCCAAGGGAGAATTCTAAGGGTTGCAGATTGCTCAAATCCCTTTATGGCCTTAAGCAAGCTTCAAGACAATGGAACTTGAAGCTCACGGTATCTCTCTTAAAAGCAAGTTTCACTCAGAGCAAACATGATCATTCTTTGTTCATCAAGGAAGAAAATAGATAGCAGGTTATCATACTAGTATATGTTGATGACCTTCTTATCATTGGGAGTGACATCACATTAATTCAAGAAGTAAAGCATAAACTGCACAAAGCTTTCAGGATCAAGGACTTGGGAAATTTGAAGTATTTTCTAGGCATTGCAACATGCAGGTCTGGAAAGGGAATTCTTTTATGTCAAAGAAAATATGCTTTAGAACTTATAGCAGAACTGGGATTATCTGGTGCTAAAACTGCCATTACACCAATGGAGTTGAATAAAAGGCTCATAACTGTTGAGTATGATGAGTATTGCCATTTGGATGATGATCCAACACTGACAGATGTGAGGGGCTATCAGAGATTGATTGGGAAGCTCTTATATCTGACCTTAACAAGACCTGACATTGCTTATAGTGTGCAAACTCTGAGTCAATTCATGCAAACTCCCAAGCAATATCACTTGGAAGCATCATACATAGTAGTAAAGTATGTGAAGAACGAGTCTGGCTAGGGGATTTTTATGAATTCAGTTGGGAACATGGCTCTTAATGCGTATCGTGATACAGACTGGGCAAGCTGTCCCAACTCAAGAAAGTCTATCACTGGATATCTTGTAATTTTGGTGGATCATTGATCTCTTGGAAATCTAAGAAGTAGACCACTGTGGCAATAAGTTCAGCAGAATTTGAGTATAGAAGCATGGCCTTGATTGTTTCTGAGCTGATTTGGCTGGTAGGAATGTTCAAAGAACTGGGAATAGATATTTCAACTCCAATTCAGCTCCACACGGATAGTAAAGCAGCTATGCAAATAGCCAACAATCCAATCATATAGAGATAGGTTGCCATTTCGTAAGGGAAAAAGTGTTGCAAGGGCTGATATGTCCTACATATGTGCCAACAGAAGAACAAGAAGCCGATTTATTCACTAAGGGACTGGGGACTGCTCAACATTATCATTTGATGCCCAAGCTAGGAGTTTCAAACATTTTTACCACACCTAGCTTGAAGGGGGTGTAGAAATACACACGTGATTAATATTTTTGTACAGTTGTATTAGCTTTGTTAGAGGTGTTAGAAGTTAGTTGTAGAGATAGGAGCCTATATATATGTGTGTGTGTGTGTGTGGGTGGGTGGGTGGGTGGGTGCTTATGTATTTTTCCTAACCTTTTTCTGGAAAAAAAACTGTTATAACCGACTTTCCCTCTATTGTGTCTTCTTCTTCGATTTCACACGTGAGCTTCTTCCACTCATTAATGGTGGAATTTAACAAAACTAATCTGCTTTTGAATTGTTACGCTTGAAATTTTTCTGGGGAAGAAATTTTTGGAGAAAAAAATGAATAGAATTTTTGAATTAAAATCTTTTTAAACTATCAATTCCCCATGAATCACAGTGAGAATCAATAACGATAATGTTCAATTGATCAAGTTTTAAGAAATGTGCTCACAAGAAGTGTTATAGGCTTTTGTGCTGAATTTTTAAATATCAAAAGGAAGTAAAGTGATGAAAATATTATAGGTAACTCTTCTGCATATATATTCAGTACGTGGAATGTAGATGTTGATATCCCATTTGTTAGCTTAACTTTGTATATTCATGATATCATTTTTATTCAACAAATAAGTTGTCGAGGGAAGAAAAATTAATGGGCATTGAAATAATTATTCATGAGTTTAAGAGAGCAGGAGATGGTGTAGAAAGTTGAGACGAATGTTCTGGTTGTGACAGGTCATATGTAGCTCCCGAATAGTTCACAATCTCTCCAATGACCAAAGAATTTTTTTCACATATCTAATAAATAATTTTATTTATAGTGTTAAAGAAATCGTGAAAATACTAGAATAACGAAAAGATGTTTGGTAAGTAAAGATTATTCTTCTTTTATAAAATTTATGAATTTATATTTAGTCTTATTTTAATTTGTTTTCATGATTGCGCGAAGCCCAAGCAACACACTAGTTTTTTAATAATTAAGCACTAAAGTTCTAAAGAGAGCGGTACTAGATACCGAATGGATAACAAAAAGGAAAAATTAACATCACCTTCTCAACAACAAACAAACACAGAGTAATTCCGTAAGTGAGATCCGGAAGAGTAGTGTATATGCAGACCTTACTTTTATCTGGTGAAGATAGAGAGGTTATTTTCAATAGATTATTGGGTCAAGAAAAGGAAGAAAAAAAAAAGAAGCCGTAGCAACAAATTATTACAACAACAAAAAAGTACAATAACTGAAGCGATCGAAATAACATGTATGAATAGAGATATAAGAATAAAAAATATAAGAATAATACTAATACTACGGGTAAGGAAAGAAGTGACTCTCAACTACCTATTAACTGTTTACCCTAATTCTCAATTTTCACACCCTCCTATCAAGAGTCATGTGTTGAACAAGCTGAAGATACATCATGTCCTGTCTAATCACCATTATTCCGTTACCTAGCATAAAGCAATAAATGCGATAAAACATTATGAAATAGAATGGGTACCTTATGTCTCAGAAAAAAAATTTGTCCATATTAGGAGGATAAGCTTTTGGAACAGATTTTTTCTTTCACAAGTAAGATTTAAAACTTACGAAAAGAAAATCCTTATATTCCTTAACTAAATAATATCATTATAAATAAATTAAAAATCATCCCAATGAAAAATCTACTACTATTTTTTTGAGGAAGTAGGGAAGGGGAAAGCATCAATTAAAATCTTAAGATTGTATTACTTATTAAAAATGTTGCAGATGATAGTACAAATAAGGTGAGGAATTGTGATAACCCCAGGTCATTACTTGTGTTGCAGGTAAATTCAGTGTCCCAAGGCCTTAAAATCTCTCTTTTTACCTCATCTCTACTTGCGTGCGTGGTCCGGACCTATATCCGGAAAGTCTTCTATGTGAAAATATGACAAATAGAAATTTCTAGAGTTAAAATTTGATTATGGTTAACTTTGGTCAATATTTTGAGCAAACGGATTCGGATCCGTATTTCGACGATCCCGAGAGGTCCGTAGTAAAATATGGGACTTGAGCGTATTCCCGGAAATGAATTCCGAGGTCCCAAGCCTTAGAAATCAATTTTTGAAAGAAATTGTTTTACTGAATTATCTAAGAAATGAAGAAAAGAATTAATGTCTGAAACCATTGGTATCGGGCCCGTATTTTGGTTCCGTAGCCCGGTACAAACTTGTCATAGTCTTTAAAAGATAACTGTGAAATTTGGTGAAAAACGGAGTTTATTTGACGTGAGTTGGACTTCCGGTTGAAGAGTTATGAACTTTGAGTGTTCTTGATGAAAATGTTGAGTTTTGAGGTTTAACTCATGGTTTTACATGTTATTTTGATGATGTGATCACACGAGTAGGTCCATATGATGTTTTGAGTTAGTATGCATGTTTGGTTTGAAGTCCCGAGGGCTCGGGTGAGTTTCGGGTAGGTTCCGGGATGTTTTATGCTTAAAATATAGTTGTTGCAGGTTCAGAGAAGTTGCAGATCTCTGAACCCGCCAGTGCAGCCGCAATGATTTTGTGCTACCGCGGAGGGGCCTTTTGCGGCCGCAAAGGATTTTTTGCGGTCCGCGGTGGAGGGACTTTGCGGCCGCACTCGATTTTGTGCGATCCACGGTGAGGAAGAATCCGCAGGTGCACTGGTCTGATTTCGGGAGCCTATATCGTTTGATCTACAAGGCATTTTGAAATGATTCAAATCAAAAGTCGTAGCCCTTCGTGTCTAGTTTCCAGAAAGGTAAAGAAATTACAATTTGGACATATGTAGAGAAAGTTATGCCCAAAATACTAAATTATGTCACAGCAGTCAACATTCTCTGCGGTGAGCTCCGCGGCCGCAATTCTTTTTGTGCGGTCCGCGAAGAGGGTTTGGGAGGGGTATATTTAAACGGGACTTTTAGTTATTTTCACTTTTCAAAACCCTAAAAACATAAGAGACGATTTTTCAAACAACCTTTCTTCTCCGAAACATTTGTAAGTGATTTCTAACTCATTTTCTTTACTCCTTAACTTCTTTTTACAAGATTTCATCCTAGAATCTGGGGTTTTCATGGTGGAATTGAGAATTTTGGGTAAAACCTAAGAATATTGAAATTTGGGAATTTAGACCTCAAATTGAGGTCGGATTCCAAAACTAATTATTTATTCGGGCACGGGGGTGAATGGGTAATCGGGTTTTGGTCCGAATTTCGGTTTGACCAAGCGGGCCCGGGGTCGATTTTTGACTTTTTGGGAAAAACTTCAAAAAACTTATTTCCATGGATTAAAATTGATTCATTTAGCATTTATTAATATAATTAAGTAACTTGTGGCTAGATACGAGCGAGTTGGCGGTGGAATCGAGAGGTAAAGCGATAGTTGAGGCTTGAGTTGTGTTCGTGGCATCGAGGTAAGTATTTGGTCTAACCTTAGCTTGAGGTATTAGGAGTTGTGTCCTATTTTCTATGTGTTATTTGTTGACTACGACGTATAGGCATGGTGACGAGTATCTATACATTGGTGTCAAGCATGCCCGTGAGTCTTATGTTATGATAAATGTAACTCTGTTTGTATTGTTCATACCTAATGTGATGATTGCTATTGTTGAGTAAGCCTTGTGGAAAGAATATTGATATTTGAACATTGAAGAGCATTGGTTCAAGTTGTAAAGTGATTTGTGGAAGTATAACTGGCAATTGAACTATATAGAGCATTGTGTCACGTCCTTAGTCTTAAACTAGGTACACGTGTGGCACTTGACAACTCGTTCACGATCTTGGACACCCTGCTCACATTTTTGCTATGCCAAGTCAGCCTTACTACACTCAAGATCGCTAAGAGAATGAAAGAAAGAACACAAGAGAATTGTTAAAGGAAGTTTTGTATTAGAGAGAACTTGAATTATTTGCTTGGTTAATGAATTACAAATGAATGCTCCCTATTTATACTAATCACCTAGGGGCTAGTATGTAAATAATAATTGTTCTACAAGTCTTTCCATTTTTACAACTAAGTCCCTTCTCTAGAATATTCAACACAGCTAGATTCTTCGAAGGATTTTCCTAACAATTCTATAGGGTTCTAAGGTCTTCCTAAGGAAACCTCTATATTTCTCTAGAACCTTCCTACAAAAGTATAAATATCTTGAACTTTTCTAAGGAAATTCTCCATGGTTCTAGAATATTCCACCAAGATCTTTTCCCTAACTTATATAGCCCTTCCATATGGCAAAAATATATGCTAAGTGGCACCTACGTGGCATGATGATGTGGCGGGTCATGACACTCTCCCCCACCCAATTTTGTGCCACCCTCGGCACAAAGCATCGACACATATGCGCGCACCTCGCCTTGGCATCGCCAAAGATCTTTGTCCATTAGCCATGATGCCCTATGAAGCAGTTCTCCTTCCCATTTCACAAGGTACTGGCTACCTTTTTTCTTACTCTGTTTGTACTTTGGACGGCTAGCAATGATGGCCTTCATCATCTGCCCATCGGATTCCCCTCTTTGCTCTTGACCTGAATCTT